ATCTGCAACTACACAACTAGATGCAACTTAATACTATACGCTTGTCTGTTAATTCCTTAACTCCTTAAAAGTGGATATAGCCATAAGTCAGTAACGATGCCTGTTGCATCCGATCTTGCTACTACTTTCACTTCTAATCTTTTCAATAGTATGAGTGGAATGATTGCTCTTTCCTTTCTGATATTAAATGCAGATTGCAGACTGCAGATTGAAGCGCCTAATAGATTAATTTATTTTTATGTACAGGTTTGGTATCAAATATCTAGAATAATTGTATTTATTTTTTTCTCAGAGATGCATTGTGCTGTTGCGTTGGCTACAAAAGTGCATATAGCTTAAAGACACTTGCCGACTGTATGCAATAATCGACAACAGGAACACTCAAAGAGGAAAATAGTAATTATCATTCACACACAGTAATGTATTGGTTTAAAATGGTCTCAAAATTAATCTTTGTATTTTTAAATAAAATAAAAAGGCCATATGACCTTTTTCTGTCAACTAACACAAGTTAATTTCTGTCTTCATCCCATCAGTCATAGCTCACTTGTGATTAGACCACAGCTCCCAGCGTATCTAAGAGCGCCTTGAGATCCCCTAGAGCTGGATGAAGTTAAGGATGCCTGTGCAGCTCTGTTAAACGGGTGGATAGAAATGTATTTGTCACTGAAATACATTTTCAGAGACATTTTCAGCAGACAGGTACCTCTAAGTATTGGCTAGTATGAATTCTGAGCCTAATTTGTGGAAAACATGCCATTGGCCTTTAGGCCTGATTCAGACCTTAAGTTGAGTCAGTTTTGTGTCACTCATCAACATTTCTAAGCCTAGAGGTCTGTGCATATGTGAGGTGATAAATATGTAAATGAAGGTACATCAGACTTCACATTACAATAAACTGAGTCAGACTAAAACACAATTTTATGCTCAGCACCTCCCATTTCTTGTTGACCAAAATTGATACTAAGAAAGGAAAAACAAACCCTCATAAATAACCTAAACCAGCTCTGGTAAACCGATGAAATATTAAAAGTTCCATATTAGGTTCCATATAAAGACCACGTACGTGGATCATAAATATGGAGGTCACTTTTTCTCCCTCATACACCTGCTAAGTTGAAAAGCCTCGGGATGTTGTTGTGGCTCATTTGCATTTACTCACATTTTGAGCTTGAGCATGACCCGCTCAAAACCTTGGAGGAAATCTTGACCATGCAGCAAGAAGCAGCCAGTTAAAGACAGGGTCTGATATGATGGCCTCCTCCAGGACCATATTTAAAACAGATAGATAAATGAAACCTCTGCAGTAATAATCCTAATGTGATCAACAGTATATGAACTGCGAGTCCTTACGACCAGAAAGCTGTATAATGCGTTTAGCCCTTCTAGTAGAGTGGTTTTATTTATTTGCTCCAGACTGAAATATTTTAAAAACTACTGGATGGATTGCTATGAAGTTTTCATACATTTCAGACATTAATGCTCCCCTTAGGATATTTTTTTCTCATCAGGGCAAAATACCTGCAAAACTAATGACATTCCCATCATCCTCAGCTGTACTTTGTGTCATTGCTTATTAGCAAATGGTAGCATGCTAACATAGTAAAATAAGATGGTGAATATGGGGAACATTTTATGATGTTAGCATGTTGCTCAAAGCGCTGCTGTATTTAAGTGGAGCCTCACAGAGCCGCTAGGATGGTTGTAAACTCTTACTCTTGTATACTATCCTGAGTAATTGGAATGGCACTTGAGAGAAGGTAGATAATAAGTGACTGATAGCCTAACATAAGTAATTCCATGTGTTGTGAATTGTACCTTTTGTCTCATATCAAATTAGTAACTCTGTATGAATTAACTAACGAACTAATGAATAACTACCCTTACTAGTTTTATTTTGTTAATTCCACCCACAATATAAACCCTACAGATCTTTCAGATCATCTGTCACTTGTCCTCTTATGGTTAGATTTAAAACAAAACCTAGTGAAGCTGTATCTCAAAGCTAAACTCTCAAAACACTTGTTTACTTTTAAATCAAGGCTAGGAAATCATTGCTTTTAATTAGATTGTGGCTGCTTCAACACCCTGATTTCTTTTTTGACTGATTTCTATTCCTTTTAGATTTTCATTCTGCATTTTTATCCTCTCTGTCTTTTGTGTAGTACTTTGAATTGGCTTGCCTTGTCCAAAGTTCCAAGGGCACCTTGGTAGCTCAATCTTTGTACATCATCATGCTTTAAAAAACTAAATTGAAGGTTTTTTTAAAAAAACTGAAAGACCTCAAGAAGAGAAAAGTCCATGGTCTTACGTATTAGCATACAGTATTAGTGAACAGAAAAAAAAAACCTTGCATGCTCTGTCAAAATCCAAGCAATTTAACCGGGTTCTCAACTCATGTGAAGTTCCTGTACTAGAACTTCATGCAGTTTAAATTGGACCCAATGTGATTAGCGTATATTGAGTCTTACAAGGCAAACACGGTGGATTCAAATTAATATTGCAAACCTTCCGATTCCCCCTATGACCTAAAGACTGAGAGAGATGAAGACAAATTCAGTGAGGTGGAAAATTATCAAATGCAGATTTTGGAGTGAGGGAAAGTCAAAGAGAAAGTGAGAGTATGAGGGAGAGTATAGAAGTAAGGAAATAGGGAGACAATTTTAGAAAAAAAGGGGGAACTGTCATAGGATTATTTTTTGAGACAAATGGGGAGGCTTACCTAAAGGTGACATCTCTGGAACCCCCGCCAAATACGGTCCATCAAGAAACTTTGGCTCATTATCATTGATGTCCTGGACCTTGACCACGAATTCAGATCTGGGCTCTACAGGTAAATTGGTAAGCCGGTCTACAGCTTGAGCTTGGAGGGTATAATAGGCTTGGGCCTCCCGATCAAGGCGCTTCGTGGCGTGGATGTCTCCTGTGTTTTCATCAATGGTGAAGATAGAGGTGGCGCCCTCACCAGATAACACATACTTCACCTTTCCATCTCCTTTGTCCACATCTGAGTGCAGCTATTGGAAGAAAAAATAACATCATATAAGAAAATAAATATTCTATTGGAGAAAAAAACATTTTAATATTTTAGTGGTGGTTGTAGACTTAATGAAGAATGATTTGAGGGCTGTCTTTTCTGCTCCTCTAACAATTATTAAATAATGATTAGTAAGGTTGATACTTCACATTACCTATGCAGAGATAACAAGCCTAATTGATTAAAATGGAATTAAAATGTGGATGTATTTGAGTACATTTCGTGTGACTCATTTTATTTGACAAAATGTATAAATTATCTCATATTAAATACTACTAAAATATGTAAATGTTGTATGAAATATTCAGTATTTACCCCATGTGAATTTCACTGTCATATCTTTGCTGATATGTACAGCACACACACACACACACACACACACAGACAGACATGACACAAGCAAATACACGTCATGTTTATTGGACAAACATCTGAATCAGATCAAAAGATCAAAACATGAATTAATTAATTATGTTACAAAATCCCATCATGATTTGCATTTTGCTACCAATAATGGCATGAAATGAAATGATGCCACTTACTGTAATGCCACTGTGACTAAATAATGTAATGGTCATTACAAATGATGAAACTACATGTTTTCCATTAAAACCTCTAGCAATGACTAGCTTAACTCACATAAAAAACATACTAAAGCTATTACAAAATGTGTTTGAATCAATAAAACAATGGTTCACCAAATAGATTTTGTTGGCAGATCTGTATTTTGTCTAGAAATATGTCATTTGGAAGTCAAGATAAAATGTTACAAAGATTTAATGCAAAACATTCAAAATGTGGTTCACAAAGCAGCCCTGGGAAATGTTTTATGCAAAAATACTTCTGCCCTAGTGGAGACCCTATACTGTATGTTTGCCGTCTTTGCTAAAATGATAATGACCTCAGATGTAGATTCTTCTTTGCCAATATTGAAGAATCCAATATTCAGATCACCACTTAAACAGCAGTAAGTAAATGCTCTGTTGAGTGAAAGCTGGACTCATTGTTCCATGTTGTGCTTCTTCTCATACATTTTCTGCCTTTTGGATAACAAGGAGCACAGATGGTTTTGTAGATGTGAATGTTCTAAATGACATATCTGTATTACATAACACCTGCATATTAAGGCTCAAATATTTCACAGTTTAACAGTTCCCTTGCATTGCCATTAAGAGCAGCCAAAACACTAAATGTAGCTTAGAGCTCATCCATTATCGTTTTCAAAATGGATTCTACAGGTTTTTGCCTTCCGAGAATCAATAGCAAGAGCTGAGGTCATATTACAAGAGCCATCCTGTAGATCAGTCATTTTTAACTAAAATAAGTAGCACACCAAATAACAGTCAAGTTCATGTCTTCAATTCATCTCAAAATATGTGGGCTAGGTCTACAAAGAAGTCAGACAAGCTACGTTTCTATCATTGAACTACCGTAGTCTCTACAACAACCTGCTTATGGTGGAGTTTTAATTTCAGAAGAACAAGTCATTTTTTGACTTTAAGACCCCTACTCAAAGTACGACTAAAAAAGAAAGAAATCCTTGAACAACTCTAAAAAAAGAACACTTGAAGCTAGTAACCAACCTTGAACAATCCTGTTTGAAGTCAGAGCTGTCTGATGGCCATCAAGCCCTTCATTGTGCAGAACATCAGAGCGATCACACCAACTGCCATATATCTTAGGGGAAGGCCGTTGTTGGTATTCAAAGATGGACACATGGACCATTTTCAACTGTCAGCATTTAGCAGAGTGCATATTTCTGTCTTTTCTCCAACACCTCCAACATGACAAAACACCCCAATTAACAGCAAAGCAGGCAGAGCAAGCTTTTAGTGGATCTTTTTTCAGGGGATGTTTTTCCTGATTCTCAATATTTGGTGTTAAAGTGTACAGAATAAAGCTTCAATTGGACCTGTAATATCTACCCTTCACAGTGTTCTCAGTCTTGCTTTGAGTGTGTTTTGAACCGTGTTGCCTCCAAACCAATAAAATCAGGGCCTGGTGGAGTAGACTGATAGATGTCTCAAGTAAAAATTTCCAGTAGTTGCTTTGACAACTTACTCGCAAGCTAAGCTCTCTCCAAGCCTATTGAACTGAGACAAATAATTACTTTAAAGTATGAAGTACACCGCAATAATAGTAAATACTGGAGCCTTAGAAGGGTTCTTTACTGATTTAATATTGCACTGCTGACACTTGTCTTTATCATTTTAAACTCAGGTGCAAAACACTTCAAGGTATGCTGGATGCCTCATGAAGCCTCGGGACTACATCGTCAGCAAAGAGAGGAGGTGCAATCGTATATAGAGGCTGGTACACTACAGGCCTTCACAGGTCCAAAATTTCCTGTTCAATTCACAAACCCCAAAAAATGTAAATGTACTACCCAGAACTGAACTGGACCTATGTATTATTTGAAGTTGAGATCTAGACCAACCAAGAAATGTTGGATGTAAATCAGCTGGGAGACTCGGTATTCAATCAATAAAGTACACTCCATCAGAACTGCTTGTTGGATCGCTGTGTCCGACCATTTCTGTAACTCTCCGAACCTCAACAATCTAACATTCACATCCACTTTATAGTGGGAGGTGAAATAGGAGTCTTCTCTTTCTTTTTTTTCATTCTTGACAAAAACGATTTCTTTCACTTTTCATGTGAACACAGTGCACTGAATGCTTCCCTTAAATGAAAATTTAAACGATATTTCGTCTTCCCTCCAGGCAGGCTTTTCACTCCACCTTTGTATGTGGTTGTACAGCTATACACGCTTTGGTCACTTCTGACAACACGTCTTATGAAATAGGTTTGAACGAGCATAACCCAACGTTATCAGATAAACTTTACTCTATGGCTGTACCTTGAGATGTTCAAAAACAAAAAACAAAATTGAAAACGCAAAATCTTATCCAAGAATTATCTTATATACAAACCCACACATTGGTTTATGACAGGATCTTATGAAAAAACATTTTGGTACAAATAAATAAATCAATTCAAATGGTGCAACTGCCACACTGTCACTCCTTACAAATGAGCAAACTACTAATTTCCCAATTAAACACCTGACAATAACTAGTCTCATCTCACCCAACCTCAGTTGAAGTTAAATGTATTTTATGCTTTTGTATGGATAAAACAATGATGATTCACTAAAAGTTTTGTATTTCTTTCATTAAAAAATTAAATATAAATGATTCCCTAGAAAGCAATGATTTTCTACCTTTTGCCAAAATATTAGGCAAATGCAACTCTAAGTATCGAGAATGAATCAAGAATCTCCTTGTCAGCACCCTTGTCAGACTGGTCTGTTTCCTCAAGGAACACGAGGCACTGTTCCTGAACTCCGAGTGAAACCGAATAGGTGTGTTACCTATGACAGCCAGAGACTTTTGCATCTCAAGGTGAATCCCCTCCAACCCCAAGCACCGCACAACTGTGGTGCTTTTTAACTACCTCAGTATCCTCAGCCAGGGAGATGAATAAGGTTAGAATGAGTCATCTTTCTCTTGAATGCCGTGACATTTGGGAGATCTTTGCTCTATTCCAACCATTGTATGACACCCAGGTGAGGTTAGCAGTTAACTATCGCTGGTTAAAACAGTCAGGACAAAGGCCTGCCCTCACTCTTCTAGAGTCGTCTGATGGTTTGTCAGAACCTCTTTGATACTACATGATTTTTAATATCCCTATCACACCTGACCCAGTGCTGAAATGCACAAATGTATAGCTAATGTATTACTCAGACACAGTTTATAGAGAAGATTATATTTGAGCAATTTAATTATTTTTTATTGTTCTGATTAGTTTTTATTGTCAAAACAGAACAAATGAATGAGTATGTGCACATTGTGTAAAGTGCTTTTCAATTAAGTACTGGCCTCTCTTGTTGTTTATTGTGTAGCGCAATGAAAAAGGCCTATTGTACAACATTTCTTTTTATATTACAATGTACTAACACAGGATTGTTGTTGAAACTCTTCCTTCAATTTATCTGTAAATGTCAACATCTCATTATGGGATAAATAACAATGGTATTTCAGGTTCCAAGCCAGCGCTGCAGGGGTAGAGAATGATTAGGTCAATATTATATTGGTGGCACTGAAGGAGTACATGCTGAACAGAGGATACAACACCAAGGGTCTTTTATTAATGGAATCTATCAGCCTGCTGATGGATGCTGCGTTAGGGGCATGATGATTGCATTGGTTGTGTCCTCAAGCCTCAGCATGCATATGCCGCCTCTCTTATGGAGCTTGCCGTGTTTATTCACCATCTCCTGCTGTCAGGAGCAAACTTGAGGTAAATTGTCAGTCGTGGAGAGTCAACATTTAATCTTGAGGAAGCCATCCGTGGCAGTTTGTTTCCGGTAAATGCCATGGACAAGAAGGACAAAACTGACAGGCCACAAAGCATGCAAGCCGGGTCAAGGGTCAAGCACACTATGTGGTCTTTTCAGTGAACTGTTTAGCTTGCTCCATTTCCCACTCTCTGCCTGGCACTAGGATACACAACAATGCGACAACCAGCTCCACATATCCCATCTCTAAATCTTATCAACAGTGAGGACTACATAAAATATGTATGGCTTGGCAGGGCTTATTAAAAGTATACCCTGGTCAAATACTTTTCTCTCTCATTAATCTAACCCATTTTAAAACCGTCACTGCTGATTTTCAGGTGGTATTTGAAGTTTCAACTCTTATTACTTTTACTGAGCACCATAGTTGCTTCACTTGCAGAAATGTAAAGACTCCTCTATAATTCTTTTCTTTGCTTCCCTTGAGCTGAGTGTAACACAGCATGCAGCACAGCAGTGTAGCTCAAAGGCACTCCCAGGGATTGTGAAGGAGGGGTGGGATCTGAACACGAACCCTTCTGAAATCAGAGCTGACACTTATCATCACTTTGTATGCAAGCAGTTCTCCAGGGACCCGCCTGTTAGCTTTGTGTTTGCTTGTTTACCTTGTAGCAAGGGAG